TAGGCCCGAAACGTCAGCCTTCCTGCTCCTCTGATGCTGCTTGGCCTGCTGTGTTCATCCAGCTCTACACCTTGTTATCTCAGATTCTCCAGCATCTGCAGTTCCTACTATCTCTGAAACAAAACAAAGTTGAGATAATAATTCATTGCGTGAGCTGTTTACTATACTTACTGGACTAGGGATAGAGTCAGGATCAAGTTTCTTCTGTTGAGGTCCAGCAAGCTGTGCACCAGTCGCTGGAGCCCCTGGATAGGCACCAGGATAGTTTGGCTGAAGGCCTCTTTGCTGCGCACCATACATACCTCCTGGAAAGAAGAATCACAAATACTGGACACAACAACTCATTGCTCTAGATTACATACATTTGATTACATAAAAATCTATGAATTGTTTTTATTTGATACTTCAGAAAAACAGCAACATTTATTTTACATAGATAAGCTTAAAAGATAGAGAATTTTAATACAAAAATGTTAATCTCGAATGATTCTCTGTTCCGCAATAACTATAGAAATGTATAAAATTCTTTCCATTTTGTCTGCAATTTACTTGTTAAGCATGCTACATCCAATTCAGAGTGGCAATAATATTGTCAGCATTGGGACAGAATGCTGGCTCAGTGGTTAGCACTGTTGCCCACAGCGCCAGGGACTCGGGCTCAATTCTACCCTCAGGCGACTGTCTGTGTGATGTCTGCACATTCTCCCAGTGTCTGCATGGATTTCCTCCCGCAGTCCAAAGATGTGCAAGTTAGTGGACTGGCCATGCTAAATTATCCATAGTGTCCAAGGATGCGCAGGCTAGGTTGATTAGCCATGGGAAATGCAGGGTTACAGGGAAAGGGTTGGAGGGTACGTCTGAGGGGATGCTCTTCTGAGGGCTAGTGTGAACTTGATGGGTTGAATGGCCTGTTTCCACACTAAGGATTCTATGATTTACTGACTATTACACATCAGTATAACCAATTACAACATTTAATAATTTGTATTGACTGACAGCTTAGTCTGGTCACAGGCAAGTACTTTTTCTCAGGACAACTATGATGTGTTCACTATACTGTAATATATAGAGTGCCTCAACAGTTGAAGTTTCACTAAATGGAAGAAGTTCATGTGTAGTTACATTTTGAGAGAAAGGGGCCCATCCTTCCCCGGCCTATAAAGTGCTTTTGGGTTCCTTCACACCAGACAATATGTACTGTGACTGATTTGGCATCCTGAACATAGGTTTCAATGCTTTCAACTCCATTGATTCCAAAATATTTATAGTTATTACCAACCATTAAAAAGAATTCAAAAGTTCCTTATAAATCCTTGGTAAATACTAGGGGGATTGAGGGAATCAGTGTGAGTGATTTGGTGGTCAGTTGTGTGCTTACCCAGAAGTGGATTAGGCTGCTCCTATCTAATACTTGCTGTGTAACTATTTGTAATGGTGTTTTAATAAATCACATTATGCAATGGGAAAATCGACTTGAAAATCAAATTTAAGAAACATTGAATAAAGAATACTCTAAGCCACCATCTCGATCCACGTGGCACCCCAGCCAGCTGCCACTCTACTCTATTACTTCACCCACCCAGCACCCTGACCATTCACTCATTTACCTATTCACCAACATGTATACTGGACACTTAAGCTCATTTAACAGCAGCTGCAAAAAGGTGGGTGTGGCTTCTCTGGTCTGTTCAGTATCCTGCATCTTTGGAGCCCCTGCTGCATTCTTCAATCCAATGCCCGAACCCCAAAACACGGTTTCCTGCTCAGGCACATTTATCATGAAGACATTGTCCACAATACCTATTTCATAAAGTTCTAATTGATCGGAATTGAAGTTAAAGTTGCTATAACTTTATGTAATTACGTTATCTCAATTTTATTCTTCATTTAATGTTTTTTAAAATTTGGTCTCCTAGTCTATTTCCCATAAAATAACTTGCAATTTACTGAAGCAGTAGTGATTTTACTGTAATTCTTTTCTAATGTGAAAATGTGTAAATTATGTGTGAGTGAACTAAAACAGCCTTTCATTCCAGTGAATTAATGTATGGCTATCAGTACATCAATGACAACATATGTTACTCATTCTGCCACATGGTTCTCCTGGAGTGACATTAAACAGGTCTTTAATCCTGATCCACTAGGTCTTGACAGTTAAGATTAGATTTAACGTATGTGAGCAGAATTTAGGCAAGTTTCTCCAATTTTTTGACATAATTTCAGTGGAAGTCAATCTCAAAAATTTCCAAGAATAAAAACTGACTGACTGTTGTTTCTGTTTGGTTTTCACCAATCATCTGCCAAATTTATAGCCCGGGAGATCAGAATTCATGCAAAATTCCAATCACTTATAATCTGCAAATATGCAAAATAATAGTTACCAATGATCAATCCAAAATAAATGCTCACTGTCTACTCATCACATGATGAGCATTTGAAGATTTATTTAATTAAGAAGCATTAAAACTCTGATTAGCCTTATAATCAGGCGAAGCTTGCTAAATCAATCTTTTCTGGATTGGCAACCAACAACACTAAAGCAAGAGAAGCTGGTCAATCTTCTGGAGGTACTTTTTTTAAAAACCTAGCTGCGTACATGTTTGACTGCAGTTAGTCATTTCAAAAGTAATCATTTGGTCTAAAATTATTTTGATAAATGATACAAAACTACATTTGTTTCTCTTTCAGTATAATGTGTCTTGGCAATTTTCTGATAAAGCAGTCTACATTCCACATTTACAACAGCCAACTATGGAACAGGATAACATTTCTGATTGAAATGTGAATACATTCTTTGCAGAGCTGAGCTTGCATAATTTTGATTGATTGCAATTCGATAGTCATTTCTGAATATAATTAACCTGTACTGTGTATGATCCTTACAAAGATGGCTGTATTGTTTGGGTTAAAAACAAGACAGCAGAAATGTGAGATGGCCATCAAGATAAGCAAGTAATATTTTTAAATTATCAAAATGTAAATACATACCATGCTGTGGTAAGTATGCAGTCATGGAAGGCTGGCCTGGAACCTGCTGATAGCTAGCATTGCCATGACTGGGTCCAGCATGACCAACAGGCATGCCTACAGGAGGAGGAGGAGGAACCATTCCAGGGGGCACTGTAGCTGATGGGACACCAGGGGGAACAGACAGACCTTGAGCTGCAGGAGGTGGAATGGAAGGTAAAAGTTGTTGTGGTTCAGACCCTTGGAATGAAGGCTGGAGTGGTGGTCCACATGATGATGGAGTACTGCATGGACGAGCTTGAGAAGAACCTAATTATAACAAAAAGAAAAGACATGTAGCCTCTAAAATTTTAATACTTGCAATATTTCCAGAATATTAACAGTGACGTTAAAGATTGGTGGGTGCTAAATGCCACAAAATAAATATTCTGCTCAGTAATATACGTTTAACAGTAATTAATATATTGCATCAAAATTAACAGACCCACAAGAGTAACAAATTTTATTTAATTACACTACATATATGGGAGATCCCTAAATATGCAAAACTTTAAAATCACTGCTACACTGGCTCTATCATCTGTCTTTCTTTAAAGAGTTAGAGATGAGTAATTTATGAATGAAAGTAATACACATTTGATAAGAGGACCCAGTTTTTAGGTCCTATTGCGATGAAGGTTTCTGTTTACATGACGTTGCCTTAATTTATGTTAATTTAGTGAGTAAAGTAAGAAGCCTGAAATCTAAATGTAAAGAGGATTGAGTTGAAAGATATTTCGAATCATTTGAAAAGTTGGTTGTGAAGGTGAATGTTTGGACTAACGGCAACAAAAAGTCTTGACAGGTACAGCCATAAATGCATACACCATTTTGAAAGAAATGCAATCTGTAGACTAATCAACTGTTAAAAGAGCAATACTCAATGCTTATGAGCTTGCTCCTGAGGCTTATCAATTAGAGAAGAGTGTCAACTATCAAAGAACTAAGAAGCAGTAGTTCTGCCAGATAATTTTGATATATCACACGGTCAGTGATATGTGGGATATGATCATATCGGAATCTACAAATAAATTAGGGGGATAGAAAATCTAGGGATGGAAATGGTATTAGTTTTAGGATGAAAATTTAATATAAAAGGAGAAATATATAAATAATATATTTCCATTGTAAGATTGGATATTTATAGCAATAAGCTTTACAGCTGAATAGGAGACCTACTGCAATAATAGGTACAACTAAGAAATCCTCAGAAAATGATGCATCAGGAAAGTAAATGTGTATTGAAAATATAGCAGAAGTAAGTGGAATACATTGCCTCAGAACTTAAGAAGGGAGATTTTTTCTCAATTATTGTTAAAGAGAATCAAATTTTTAAGGTTTAACTGACAAGATCATTGAAGAATTACTCATTGTGTTGTTCATATTGATGATTTGCATTCAGACAACCCCAAGAAGAACATTTACCTATTCAATCGGTTACAAAAAGCCAGCTTAGGCATAAATTTAGCTACAAGGTAAGTGTGCCAAAGCCAAAGTTTCATCTTGAGCCACACCGTGTGACAAAGCAAAGCAGCACCTACAGAAGCAATAACGAAGGTTATCTGGGATTTTCCCATGCCAAAGGCAAAACCCAAAATTCTGCAATATATTGGTGTAAAAGGATCTAATTGGCTAAAGGGATCAAGGGGTATGGAGAGAAGGCTGGAATGGGATACTGAGATTGCATGATCAGCTATGATCATATTGAATGGCGGTACAGGTTTGAAGGGCTGAATGGCCTACTCCTGCACCTTTTTTCTATGTTTCTATGTTTGTGCAATGTTTTCACAGGAAAACATGAAGAGAATTGAGCAGGCAGTTACCTTTCTAAGAAATTAAATGTGTCAACACAAATATTCAACATTTGGAGAAAAAGACTTTGATCTGGTCTTATATTCCATATATAAATTTAAGGCTGTTTTGTTAAAGTTTAATGATACAACAATACAATCTAAAAAATCATCCATGAAACAAGAAAATCCAACATTATGGTGGTACCTGTTCCAGAAAAAAAATTAAGCAATTGCCATGATCAAACTTGACCCGTGTAAAGAGATAGTAGGAACTGCAGATGCTGGAGAATCTGAGATAACAAGGTGTAGAGCTGAATGAACACAGCACGCCAAGCAGCATCAGAGGAGCAGGAAGGCTGATGTTTCGGGCCTAGACCCTCCTTCAGAGGGTGTACAGGACATTGGCAAAGCCTTTTCTGGAAGACTGTGTCCAGGTCTAGTCGCAAAGTTATAGAAAGGCTATTATCAAGCTGGAGAGGATTCAGAAGAGATTTACCAGGATGTAGCTGGGTATGGAAGGTTTGAGTTATAAAGAAAGGCTGGATAGGCTGGGACATTTTCCACAGGAGCATAGGACATTGAGAGGCAATCTGATAAAAGTTTATAAAATAATGAGAGGTATAGATAGAGTTAATAGTAGTGGCCTTTTCCCTAGGGTGGGGGATTTCAAGACTGGTAGACACATTTTTAAGGTGAGAGGAGAGAGATTTACACAGAGGGTGGTTCACATATGGAATGAATGCCGAAGGATGTGGTGGATGTGGGTACAATTACATTTAAAAGACATTTGGATAGGTACATGAATAGGAAATGTTTGGAGGGATAAGGGCCTGGAGCAGGCAGGTGGGACTAGTTTAGTTTGGGATTATGTTCAGCATAGACTGGTCGGACCAAAGGGTCCATTTCTGTGCTGTCTGACTCCATGAGAAAGTCATTCTTGAACAAATGAGCTGAAAGAATTTTGAAGAAAGCATGCAGCTTAAGCTAAATGACTACACTGCAGCTCCAGAGGAGGCAGTAGCACCCAGCCCTGTCGGGTCTTCACCTCCCCCCAGACCTCACCCTCACTGAGGGCGAACAGTCAGTCCTCAGTAAAGGGCTTACCCTTATCCCCCTTCACCCTAACATCAACGAATACAACTCACGCTTGGACGTTGAACAGTTTTTCCGCCGCCTCCGCGCTCACTTCTTTAATCGTGAGCCTAACCCTCCGTCTACTGACCCCTTCTCCCACCTCCAACACACCCCCTCCTCCTGGACACCACCCCAAGGCCTCCTACCCTCCCTCGACCTCTTCATCTCCAACTGCCGTCGAGACAGCAATCGCCTCAATCTCTCCACCCCTCTCACCCACTCCAACCTCTTCCCCCACAGAACGTGCAGCCCTCCACTCCCATCCCAATCTCACCATAAAACCCGCAGGCAAGGGAGGCGCAGTTGTAGTATGGCGCACTGACCTCTATATCGCTGAGGCCAGACGCCAGCTCTCCGACACCTTCTCCTACCGCCTCCTTGATCATGACCCCACCCCTGACCACCAAAACATCATCTCCCAAACCATCCACAACCTCATCACCTCAGGTGACCTCCCACCCACAGGCTCCAATCTCATCATTCCCCGACCCTGCACCGCCCGCTTCTATCTCCTTCCCAAAATCCACAAACCTGACTGCCCTGGTCGACCCATTGTCTCCGCCTGCTCCTGCCCCACCAAACTCATCTCCACCTATCTCGACTCCATTTTCTCCCCCTTGGTCCAGGAACTCCCTACCTACATCTGTGACACTACCCACGCCCTCCACCTCCTCCAAAACTTCTAATTCCCTGGTCCCCAACACCTCATCTTTACCATGGACATCCAGTCCCTATACACTTGCATTCCCCATGCAGATGGCTTAAAGGCCCTCCGCTTCTTCCTGTCCCGCAGGCCCGACCAGTCCCCCTCCACTGACACCCTTATCCGCTTAGCTGAACTTGTCCTCACCCTTAACAACTTCTCCTTCAATTGCTCCTACTTCCTACAGACAAAGGGGGTGGCCATGGGTACCCGCGTGGGCCCAAGCTATGCCTGCCTCTTTGTAGGATACGTGGAATAATCCCTCTTCCGAAGCTACACTGACCCTATCCCCCACCTCTTCCTCCGTTAAATCGATGAATGTATCAGCGCCGCCTCGTGCTCCCACGAGGAGCTCGAACAGTTCATCCACTTCACCAACACCTTCCACCCTAACCTTAAGTTCACCTGGAACATCTCCGATACCTTCCTGGACCTCTCTGTTTCCATCTCTGGCAACCACCTAGAAACCGATATCTATTTCAAGCCCACCGACTCCCACAGCTACCTAGAATACACCTCCTCCCACCCACCTTCCTGCAAAAACGCCATCCCCTACTCCCAATTCCTTCACCTCCGCCGCATCTGCTCCCGAGATGAGGCATTCCACTCCCAGACATCCCCCCGGATGTCCTCATTTTTCCAAGGACCGCAACTTCCCCTCCTCAGTGGTCGAAAACGCCCTTGACCGTGTCTCTCGCACTTCCAGCAACTCATCCCTCACACCCTCTACCCGCAACAACAACCAAAACAGAATCCCCCTCGTTCTCACATACCACCCCACCAACCTCCGGATCCAACGCATCATCCTCCGGCACTTCCGCCATCTTCAATCCAACCCCACTGCCAAAGCCATTTTTCCCTCCCCACCTTTATCTGCCTTCCGGAGGGACCACTCTCTCCGAGACTCCCTTGTCCGTTCCACACTCCCCACCAGCCCCACCACACCTGGCACTTTTCCCTGCAACCGCAGGAAGTGCTACACCTGCCCCCATACCTCCCCCCTCACCCCCATCCCAGGCCCCAAGAAGACCTTCCACATCAAGCAGATGTTCATTTGCACATCTGCTAATGTGCTATACTGTATCCACTGTTCCCAATGTGGCCTCCTCTACATTGGGGAAACCAGGCAGAGGCTTGGGAACCACTTTGTGGAACACCTACGCTCGGTTCGCGACAAACAACTGCACCTCCCAGTCGCGAACCATTTCAACTCCCCCTCCCACTCCTTGGACGACATGTCCATCCTTGGCCTCCTCCAGTGCCACAACGATGCCACCCGAAGGTTGCAGGTACAGCACCTCATATTTCGCTTGGGAACCCTGCAGCCCAATGGTATCAATGTGGACTTCACAAGCTTCAAAATCTCCCCTCCCACAACCACATCCCAAAACCAGCCCAGCTCATCCCCGCCTCCCTAACCTGTTCGTCCTTCCTCCCACCTATCCACTCCTCCCACCTCAAGCCCCACCCCCACCTCCTACCTACCAGCCTCATCCCGCCTCATTGACCTGTCCATCCTCCCTAGACTGACTTATCCCCACCCTAACTCCCCACCTACACTCACCCTTACTGGCTCCATCCCCACCTCTTTGACCTGTCTGTCTCCTCTCCACCTATCTGCTCCTTTATCCATCTTCCAT